CAACTTAGTCTTAGATCAAATTTTAATGTTTTATGAAGTCCATAATTGAGATTGGTTGTAAAATTACCTTCTATGATTTGAAGATTCATCTTATTTTAATGTTACATCACAAAGAGCACGCAATCATTCATAACAAAGCACATGCAATAATTCATAACGCAATGGTTCATTATTCAGACATTGTTTGCAATATTTTGGTCATAGAGAAATAGCATGGCATAAGCATTTATGTCATGCTATGCGGATCCGTTCTTACTTCGATATCATCATAGCGGTATGACTGAAGAAGCTCACAACACAATGAGAAGTTGCAATCATCGGGTTTTGTTTGTACTTTTGACAGCACCAAGGAAAGAGTTTCAACAAAACAAGACATGTACATGCAAAATCATGATGAAAAGTTATCATTGTCAATTGCAATCGGTTTGCAGCTTTCTTAAATAATGATATTTGCAGGATGACGATTCTTCAAAAATCCTGCAAAGTCATATGGTTCCTTCAGAAATGGAGTACATCGTTATATTTAGAGTCGAGTCATATGAAAACACGTTAGTGAGGAGGCCAATGTTATCAAACCAAGTTTCGATTCTCGCAAAGGCTGTACTTGCTGAACCTATTCATGTTAGTGAGGGTGGGAGGTTCATATTTTTGTAACCTAGTGTGCACTATTCTACTTCCCTTTCACGATTTTATTCTATTGTGAGAAAGAAAGAACGGTAGTCTTACGTGCATTCATAAACGCATTCAATTCGACGAGCTTATGTTTCGGATCGTAGATTACAATTATTGAGAGTCGCCGGCTCGTGTCGGTATGGCAAAACTTGCACAATAGGATTCACTCAAAATTCCAAACCGAGAACTATTTCGGGTTAAACCCTAACCCCACGGTTAGTGGAAGTGACCAAAATAGCCAGCGACCAGAATATTTAGCGGATAGGGAGGGTTCTGCGGAAGGCTGTCCTCACCCAGAAAAGACACCAAACCTAAGGTCAGGTGACGGAGCTCGGCAAATTACTCCTCACGCAGTCGGAAGAGGAAAGTCGCAAGGAGCACGATCTGGGCTATCGGGCTCGGTGCAACTTCTTCCATCCGCGGGCGTCAAGCGTGCACGTCGACGGGACGATGTCTCGCAACGCGGTTGGGAGATTTGGTAGAGCTCAGATCGCGCATGGTAGATAGCTCGAGGTGCCGCAGTTGCCTACCGAGTCCCGCCAAAGATGATAAATCGGGAAACTCCAGCCCAGAGATCACGAAGGGGGTGCCATGTCGGAAGGCTGGGGCTGGAATGGAACGGGACCGCGGAGCCGCGCACACGGCGCGAACGACAAGCGGACCAGTTAGAATATCTTCTGGCCAAGATTCCAGACTTACTCGTGACCACCCAGAAAACAATTTGGCTGGCAGAATGGTGAGGCCTATGCTTATCGTCCACATATCTTCTGCATCGACAGCGCCCAATGGCGCCAGGGCATGGAATCCCCCAGATGTTGCCTCACCTCTCAACGAACATCCTATCTTTACTCGCCAGTCAGCATCGGATCCTTGTCGCCAGATTAGACGAAGTTGGTTGGCTGCGTCCACTTGTTCGACCACGGTCGCCTGCCTCGCCCGGTCCCTCCGGTCCGGTCAGCCGCGGGTTTGAATCTGGGTCAGTCGGAACCTACTACGTCCGACGGAGCCTGAACTGCGCTGGCGAACTTCTAGAGTTAGGCGGAGGCCGGCTGACCCGAAGCCGAAGCTGGGTCGGCTGTTCGATTGCTGTACTCTAATTCAGTCTATCTCTGAGCCTATGGCAGGGAGCTCAACAGCCACAGGACTTGGGCAGCGTGACTCGACGCTTTTGTCGACTTTCGGGAAGCATATGATGCGACTGCTGCTTGGTGATGAGGATTGAGTGGGCAAGTGCTGACGGCGTCGACTTGTTTTCGACGGTGGAGTCTGAATCCTTTGTTGGTGAAATAAGGAGGTAATTAATGTCCTGGTGAATGAGCCTTAATGATTGCCTCCGCCAAAATTGCAGAAAGTCCGCGCACATTATTTGCATCAACAGCATCGGCTCGCATCGCCGAGGGCCTGATGGGTGATCGCTGTGGTGAGCGAGCGGCGAGAGGTGACGTTCCGTTTGACAACTTGCTGTGGTCACATGATCACATCTTGACTGAAGCTTTTAGAATTCCTCTCGTAGTATACAAAAATCACTCTCTCCTCGAAGATTAATCATTCGGTACGTCTCCTTCTCTCTATCCGATCTGGCATTTAGGCTTTGATTGAGGAGACAACATCTCCATCTCAGGCAAATAGCCGAGACAACCGATTGCACATTGCTATATTTGCACTCGTGGTGATTAGCCTTCCCTGAAGAGTGCGGAAGAAATATCTAAATAATATCTTTATCGACAAGGTTGCGGCAAGACAAACATGAGAATCCGTGATACTTGTAGCGATAAACATTCCCGTGAGGTTTTCTAGGTCAAAGATAAATAGTATCGATATTTTAATCTGTGTATATATTAATATTATGGCAAAGGTGATGGAAACACCCAATTAGGCCGCACATGGGTTGAAAGCAAAGGAGTAAGACTGGGTCCAGGAACAAATGACTTCGCTAAGGGAAATAGTCATTGTACTGTACAGATTTACTACTTTAGGCTCTCACGACCGGATAAATATATATATCCAGACGTGACGACCTATTATAATACAAAAATAATGAAAAAATTGAGAAATATAAAGTTACAAATGGTATATGTTCGCACTTTCTCTTCCGTATCACGGGGCATGGGTAATAAAACCAAATACTATCACGAGAATCATATGTGACCAAAATGCATTAGAAAAATATAAAGTCTAATCTGAGGTTAGCATGCTAAACGTAAAATATTTTACATTCCGTTCAAATGTTGAAATTTAATATGTATCTATTTCATTTAAAAGTATGATTTACATAAAGAACGAAATATGTATCGAAGGTGCACATCTACTCCGCATCGACGATGCGTTACGCTTGCATTTATGTTACATTAGTAATGTTTATATCTTCCCGTTAATGATTCATTCATAAGACCCAAACTTTAACGCAAATGTGCTCGATAGAACAGTATCAGCGAGTTCTGTTTAATACCAGTTCTGACCTAGATGACATATGGGTTTGTTAGTTTACAAAAGAGAATGTAATTGATTGACTCGTGCTGCTCACTTGTGTAAGGCTCATCTATTGTCATGAATGACGTATTTATTTGTTTTTTGGGGGTGCCGAAACCCAGCAGCTTTATTTTCTATTTTCATTCTTGCAGTTTAGAAGTTGACGTGAGCAAAGATAACAGCAGGAAAGAACATGGAGGTGAGCGATTCATTTGGACAAGACTGATTCACACCGAAAAAATCGCAAGGCTTGGGACGAGGCACGAAACTCTTATTTTAATTAAATTGAGAAGGCCTAATTTTCTGCGACCGTTATCTCACTCGTCCCTCCCTCTCTCTAGAAACGAGCTGGACATTCATCGTCACATCGACCGTTTCATGCGAAGATGGAGGCAATGAATGAGCACTGAATTATATCACACTACACGAGACACAAAATTCGTGATATAAATGTTCAGTTGATGGCTCGGGATAGCCATTCATGTGCGAGCCTGCGATCATTATTCTTCCTCACATGGGCTGATAAAGCCTCCTGCTACTCGATGACATTCGAGACCACAAGCCTCAATTCCCCTAACCAGGCAACTATGATTCAGAACAGGCACGCCCCAGAGGCTTAGGACATACGAGATTCAACCAGAAGGGGATAGTATTGGGCCCATAGGCAGTTATAGAAAGTGCTAGCGTGGGGCCAGCAGGCCTCGGTCGCACCCTCGGCCCCACCTCCATCCGGTTTGCTTGGCTTCGCCAGGAACAACAGCATGCACAGTCTCCAATACCTTGTTGTAATATGGTGCTGAGATTTTTTCCGAGATACGAGAACGACTATGGGAAGGACAAGTAGGGGCTAGAATAAAGAGCTTTCCATGCAAATCACTCGAAAAGTAGCGGAGTCATGGATCGAGTTTCGTTGCTTTCCTATGATATCGTCGTCCTGATAAGAGTTTTGAATCGGAACTCTTGGCAGAAGAGCTCTGATTGGGTCGTCCGTCGCTCAGCGCCAATGTCCGAGGCCGATGACCACTTTTGCACAACTATCTTCGTGACATGGGATGTTCGACGAGTTTGTAAAATATACCCGCAGCTGATGGAAGCGTGCTGCGGTGCTGCGGTGCTGCGGCGCAGAGCAACAATTCTCATAGCTTTCTGAACCATGTGAACCACTGCCCTTCACTTCAGCTCAACTGCCGAGGCCCCAAGTCCAGTGGTCAGTCGAAAGTTGCAAGCCAGCACGAGGCACGAATTGCATTACTGTATGGTTTTCATTATTTCATTATACTAATAGAGTACGTACATTATACGAAGGAAGGAAGAGGACCAGAAATATATACGACGACGACGACGACTACTTCTCGAGCTGCGAACATTCTGAAGGGGTGCCGAGGCTGGGCACGTTTATCACACTAAAGCACAACGCAACGCAAGCCCGCAAATTTATTAATCACACATGGCCTATAATATCTATAATATGGGCCCTAACCACGTCCCGCAGCCGAGCCGTGCGAGCATGTGAAGCTCTCGCTCTCGCTCGGACGAATTTCGTGGCCGGAGTATTAGATTATTCTGGCCGCATTTGGAAAATGTCAAGCACGGGCCACAGGTATCGGTCGAAGGTGCCGCGCAGCCGCGAATTTGTTTATCGCGGGGTTGGGGTTGGGGTTGGGTTAGGGATAGTTACGAGTTTAAGGTATGTGGAAAGCCCTGATAAGACAAAAAGATGGGGAAAATAATTACTGCGAGGTTAGGTAAGAGTCAGACGGACGGCAACGGACTCGGAGTGACCGGAGGACGGGGCGACATGGCGACGGAGGACGAGTATGGCAAGCAGTAGAAGAGGTCGAGGAGCTGCTGCACAATTGCGGCCTTCGAAGCGTCCGACTACTTCCTCTTCGTATCTCTCCGCTCTCGCCTCGCCAGGTGCCCGGCCACCTGTGGCACGAGAGGAGCAGTATCAGCATCAGTACCAGGAGGAGGAGGAGGAGGAGGAAGGAGAAGAGGAGGCTGCCCTTCGCATTCCACGAATTTCCAGCCGCTTCCCGGCGTGCCGGTCCGCTGAATGCTTGGCTGTGGCCGATGGCGGCAGAGTGAAGAATTTGAGCCCTCGCCGACATTGGCCCTGCGCCCAGCGGTGCCGCATTGTTGCGGAAGCCACATTGTCTGATTGACTGATTGGTTCGTGGGTTGTGCCTGTGCCCGACGGTGGGTTGGGTTGGGTTGGCGTGGGGTTGAAGAAGATTTACGTGTCCCCTGGCCCCGGTGCATTGTGTGAGTGGGAGCGAGCGAGTGACTTAAATGGTCGCGAATTGAAGCTTGTAGGAGCGAGAGAGTCGAGCAGGCTTCCTTGTTCTCGTCAGTGCCGAGTTCTGGAGTGAATCTCGGTCGGAGCCATGGCAGCCGTAGCGGCCTCGGCTGCTGTCTCCGGGGTGGGAGCTCCGAGGTTGGGTGGGATCAATGCGCAGCTCAAGAGTTGCGGTCCTTTGTCAGTGTCCATGGTCCAGTGCAAGATTGGGTTGCCCGCCCTGAGAGTCAGCTCGAGCAGCAATGAGAGGCAGAGGAGGGGCTTATCGACAGAGCGGAGAGTCAATCTTGTGGGCACTCCTTTGGTCATCAAGCAGCAGAAGCAAGGGACACAGCATTGGAGAGTGCAGGGTTTAGGTCCGGTTTCGTTGTTGGAAGAGGCACCGGCGAAATCCGAGGAGCGCGAACCACACCAGATATGGATGTCAGACGTCGTTGCCAAGCGGAAGAGGCCTTACTTCTGGAACAGGAAGTGGACGTCCAAGGACATCTCGTACGCTGCCTTCATGGTGTTCATGCACGGCCTGTGCCTCGCTGCTCCCTTCACGTTTTCGTGGCAAGCTTTCGGAGTTTTCGTTGGTCTCTACGTGATCACTGGAATGTTTGGAATCACTCTCTCCTATCACCGTCAGCTGTCCCACAAGAGCTTTAAGACTCCCAAATGGTTGGAGTACGTTTTCGCCTACTGCGGCGTGCAAGCTGTCCAGGTATTGAGTCCTGAAATTCGCTTCGGTCCGTGTATCCCTCTTCAGTTCTGCCACCTGCCTTTTTCAAGAATTCACTGGAATCCAAAGTCATCCGATTCATAGTCGCAAGTATTCTCCTCGAAACTTGGAACGCTCGTGCTTCATTTGTTGTAGCGCTCGCTTGCTGAACATGAGGTCAATAGTCTTGATTTTCAGAAGCCGTGCTCGAATTTACGGCCTCTACAATTTCAATGAGTTTTGTTTCGCTGGTTCTTGTTTGGCGAATGTCTTGGTGTAACTTTTCACTAGTCGGGCTAGTCTCGGAAACTGACTCCACTTTCTGCTCCTCTGAATTGCAGGGAGATCCTATCGAGTGGGTCAGTTCTCATCGTTATCATCATCAGCATTGTGACACCCCCAAGGACCCACATTCACCCTACGAAGGGTTCTGGCACAGTCACATGGGCTGGCTTTTGGATGATGAATCTACTGAAGCAAGGGTAAGTGCTTTCTGTGCCATTTTTGCCTGTTACTCGTGCGGTTGAGTCATGCATCTGTATTGCATGATTTAATACCTTGATATTACTAGTTCAAGTTTGTTCGCCTGAAGGAAAGAATCAGCGTTTTTCTGATATGAACGATATTTGTCCTATATACCAGGTTGGAGCTCGCGCTAACATTGCGGATATGGAGAAAGATCCCTTCTACAAGTGGATTCAAAAAACCTACATTATTCATCCGATCATGATGGCCGTTGCTCTCTTTGCTCTCGGCGGTGTTCCTTACGTCATTTGGGGCATGGTGAGTACTTCAGTCCTTTCATAATTTGTGCAGTCCACTTTCTCTTACTATGCTGAGTTAGTGCAATGTAGTTCATGACCTTAGCCTAAATTTCTCTCACATGCCTCGTCGAATTTGGTGCTGGACAGGCTGTCAGGGCAGTGTGGGTGTATCACATTACTTGGTTCGTCAATTCTGCTTCTCACGTATGGGGAAGCCAAAAGTGGAACACGGGTGACTTGTCGAGGAATAACTGGTAAAGCCGCTGTCTTCGTTCCGCCTACTGTGATGCGTAATGGCTGTCTGAGGTAGTTGAATTTGTGTTGACGCCGAGTACTGGTGTTTTGTAGATCTGTTTTGTATGCAATGCATAGCGAGCATTGAAAGTACTGATTACTCCCGCGGTGGTTAGTTTCGACTTTGTGTTTGATGTGGACAGAAGTAGATTTTGATCGGGATACTGTCGACGAAGTTTCTCGTGTGTCTAATGTACCACCGATCAGGTTTTTGACCCGACATTCGTTGTATTGTCTTAGGTGGGTTGCTCTTCTTGCCTTCGGTGAAGGTTGGCATAACAACCACCACGCCTTCGAGTACTCTGCTCGCCACGGATTGGAATGGTGGCAATTGGACCCAACCTGGTATGTAGTTAAGATGTTGCAGACTGTCGGACTTGCTACTAAAGTGAAGCTACCAACGGAAGAACATATGCGGAAGCTATCGTTTCCTGCCGCTACTCCTACTTCTTAAGTACATGCTCAAATACAGTATTCTAGCAGTGAGAGATAGGATTGAGGTGGAGTTGCCATCTGCTCATCACATGGTGAGTGTCAATTTGTGACTCCGTTATACGTACTCACAACTGTAGCCACTTGAACTAAGGTTATCTAGAGAGTCACTTGTGGAGGCTTGGATGTAGCAAAGGAATGGTGACTAATTGTATATGGAGGGTTGGACAATCGACAGCTTAGTCTTGCGAAGGTTGTCCGTGTAACTTTAACAGGTGAGTAGAGTTCCGACTAGGATGAGTAATGTTGATGGACGCGACTGTGGAATTTTAGGCTGTGCTCGTTGTTTCTTTCTTATGGCCTATGAAATATCAGTCATCGCCTCCCGGGCTTAGAATCAAAAGGTTGTAGACTGACAGTGCATTAGGCCTGTTTGTTCTCTCGTAGCGCATTCTCCCATTGTTACAGTAATCATGTAGAGTTGCCGTAGTCGTGCAAATGATGCGTTGGCTGTTGCCAGTGCGTATATTTTTGGCGGTATCACCGGACTGTGGTTTAGACTCTCAAGTCGAAGTGGCCATCTTGAGAGGAATATGAGGCCAAACATGTGTATAAATCAGCAGTCGCCATGCCTGCCCATTAAGAATGAGATGCAAAAGTTCTGATACACGTGCACTCGGGGAATTTGATGTAAATTTGTAATGGAGAGGAGTAAAGCTGAATGTGTTACAGGCTTAAGGTTATACGGGGGAACCTGCAAATTATTACCTCTTGCGTAGAAGTTCACTCATACCAACTTGACAGCAAAGTCAGCGTGGGATCTGGCTAGCAGAGTCTTGAAGCAAAGTTTCGTTCCGTAGGAATGTCTTAATAAACCAAAAGAACTAATTGGCACACGCTGCCGTAGAGCTTGACACACGTCTGTGTCATATGCCAAACAAACATTTTCCTAACCTTCACGTAAAACCAGAACCTTCCTTGTATTTGCACAGAGAAAGACAGGTGCAATAAAACCGCGCGCGTATTGATTGTAAAGAACATATAGTATATATGTATATATATGTACATGGTCAGTCTTGTCGTAAAAAAGTAAATACCTCGTACTTCAGAGAAAGGAGGAAAAAATGTGAGGCCGCGGAATACACCGGATGACGGAAATTGCTACCAATCAAAGCACATTACACTCGGTATGCATGTAAGTCACTGCCACGGTAAAATGTGAATCGTCAAAGTCAAAAATAAATACGAGAGTAGAATCGAGAAAATAGGGTTGACAAACGAAATATTGTAGATGGAATGAAAGGACAAGAAAATTAACTTCACAGAAAAATATATTATCTTATCAAACAAGCTAAATATTGTGAAATTTTTCCATCCATCATCAACGATATCTGTTCGGAAAGAACTGAAGTCGATCACTAGCATCGAAAAATACCCTCACGATAGTAGAACGTTGGCTGGTAAATGTAGATCGGTTGACGATCTAACCAATTGCTTACCGAAAATCAGTCAGGACAAGGCGAGAATCTCAAATTTTCAAATAAAATGTGATGTAAGAGGAAGAGAAGGTAAGCATGTGCAATAATCCTTAGTAATCAGAAAAAAACTCATGATGACAGTGCTTGCCACCAACCAAAGAAAAATTCACGTTGTGCAAAACATGCAACTCGGTCTGTATGCATCAAGTTCCTGATTTGATTTGTCAAAAATCTTCATATCCTGTTCCACCTCACCCCACCTTACGTTCCATCATACACGGCTGTATCACTCATTCCAGAGAAGAAACTCTGCATGACGACGCCAACCACACACTGTCAAGATGGAAACATACCCATATTGACCACGTCTGCACCTATAGCTGCAGCAGAATCAATCTAGTCTCTCCACGTTTGCAAAGTTCATGAACAGATCACCGTTCTCCTCGCGAGGTAACTGATTGTAATTTGTCGAAGTTCAAAATGTTGGTTACAGTTTGAACGAAAAGGAAAACCTCACTCTATACAAACTTCTCAAACGGGGCTTTGAGCTAAAGATCTGGCTTCAGTGGCATTCAAAAGCCTTTTGGCTATTGACATCATATCGCCGGTGAATTTCAGAACTGAAGATAATTATATCCGCAGGGAGAAAGTACACTGCGACCCGCACTAGTAGTATACTGAAGTTAGACTTTCGCATAGTTCACACATAAAAATTGCAATAAGAGGGAAATGGCCACAATCTCCAGTCCCACTTTGTCTGAATGTGAATTTGTAAAAGAGCACGCTTCTTATGCTAGTCACTATACCATAGGGCATTCCAAAGTGTTCTAAGTTAGTAGTCTCTATGAAGCTCACACTAGACCCCCTGCTGCCCCTCAACCTAATCAGCAGTAGAAATCGTTCTTCGATGTACTACATGACGATGTGGAGTACGCCAGATTATGCCACATGAGCAATATTGCTCGTACTTGCAGATCTGGTTTGATTCTTCCCCGTTCTGTTTATTTGCTGCTCGTTCCTTTCTTTACACTGACGTTATCACCTGCAGCTGTGAAGCTCATTAGAAACTTGAAAGCTTGGCATTCATTCGCACGGAGTGTTGTTGAAGTCCTTTCGTCAGTCGGCACCATACTCCTATTGTGATGTTTTTCTTAGAGAGGATCTTATCCTCGTTTACTCTAGAAACCAATCCTACGTGTGAAGAATCGATATACAAGCTCTCTCTTTCATACTTGATCAGTTCCTTCTTCCTTCTTCCTTCTTCTCAATACGTTTCATCATTTTCTTCCATGATCCGAATAGGATATTGTTCTGACGTTGCCTCTTCTCGTTCCCTTAAGCCGTTGTTTACAATTTTGCTAGAGAGAAGGCGGTCCTCGCAAAGGTGTCGAGAGGATACAATTACGATGACTCTGTCTCATTGTTGACAGGGAAATGCACACTCTTTTCTGTATCAAATGAGAACTCTAAAGTTGCACCATACGTCTTGAGGAGCACGAGAATTTGTAAGTGAGTCTGTTCATGTTTCTTCTTTCCTTGGAATTCAATTGACAAGTGTATGAGTGTAGGAAAGATGTCGCTACCAGATCCGAGCAGCTGAGCCAGAGTTGCTGGAGTGCACATCAACTTTCATACACCTCTATCCACAAATGAGGTCAGTGTTGCAGCTGATTTGTAACGGCCTCCTTGGCTACTATGTTACCGAGTCGCAGAGTACTTCAAACCCCTGTCATCTGCGACCATACCTATCCGATGCGCTCCATGGCATTTGTATTGGGCATTGAACACGTGAAGAACATTTGACAAACAGAGCAAGTTCTTGAAACCTTGGAACGATGATGAATGCTGTGAACAAGAAAAATACATGTAAAAATAGCTAAAGGATCACCATGTTGGTAGCAGTTGTTTGAAGTGTGATTGAGTGCAAGGTATCGTACATGCTAGTGACGAAAGGGTAAGGGATGTGACGAAAGAGTCAGCGATGTGAGACGCCATTGGGGATATTGAACCAGACGTTGATTAAATCTCATCTCAATTTATGGGTCGAACCAAGAGACATTGGAGACGAAGGGTTAAATATCTACTCATTTCTTCTTCTTAGGTTGACTCCGTGGAGAGAGAAGAGAAGAAAATCCAGGTTCTTCTTATCTGAAATATTTGATAAATTATGATACACACGATGGTTTGTTTCTTCATCACGGTCATGAGATTTCTGTGGAAGAGGATTCTGAGCAGTTCAGTGCATGCACAGTTTGGACTCATTACAAAAACATTTTCACAAGAACGAAACTCTCCTCCACTCACACATGTCGTTTTCAACTGTGCAAACAGTTTACGGAAATTCAGACAATTTTTTTCGAATATGAGGTATTCCAACTATGTCTCTCTCTGGCTATGCATTTACACATGTTAGTCTTCTAGCATCACCATCCTTGTTATAACGGTTGACAATTTGCAAGATGTCTGAAGCAAGTAGCTAAGGTGAGCGATTAATTAAAGCATCTGGGCAAGGTGAATTAGCAGTCTGTCTCTACAGAACACCATTCACCGAATAGATGAATCGAGAATCTATGGGCCGAGAACCCCTGCTGAGAAGTTAATCAAAACAGTTGGGTTGTGGAGGTATTGAATGTCGACTACCTGTTTCATCAGACAAAGTCCAACTAGCATGGATGAAAACCGAAATTGGACCATATCAGAGTCTACGATCTATTTAAACTACAGAATGTTTCGACACAAGTTTTAAATAAATTACAAAAATGTAAAGATTATCACACTGCAACTTTTGGAAGCAATTTATAAGTAGCGATGAGTAAACTTGCGCTGTTGGAAGAGACTTGTGATCTTGGTATTTTTACTTCAGAGATCATAAGCTCAGAGTTGCAGCAGAATCGATCAACGTAATGAACCTGAGTGTCTGGTGACTGTATTTTCAACAGGTGAGAAATTGAGTTCTCACTTCTACTTTTGAGTAAGACTTGATTCTTCGCGCTATTGTCACTGAGGTCTGCTCACACTAGCAGAACTTCTGGAATTCTTGAAATTCGAACACCTTAGTCGAAAGCAAGAGATCTGAGAATGTAGGTTTTGCCGAACACATGATTATACGCGTTTAAGATTGGTGAGTGGCAAATCTCTTTATGATTATTAAGGTTTACTTTTATACTAAAACAAATAAATCAATAAAATCATACAGATAACAATCAGTTGTATATTTTTTATACTATCTTTCAAGGAATTAAATTTTTTAGTATTTTCATTAAACTTAATCTCTATATTTCTTAAAATTATAATGATTTATTTTGATATAGCTCAGATGTTACAAATCAAAGTAAAGCAATAATCAAACTTCATAGTAGTTAGTTAAACTCAACTTTACCACTCGAAAGTTTGAAATGTGCATTTTATTTTCATATAGAAGATACTATTTACGACTTGAAGAGTATTGCCTGAAACTGAATATTTTAAAATAAAAGCATGAATCAATTATGAAACTTAAAACATCTAACTTTTTTTTGAGATTTTGTTCACATGTAGCTCTTGATTATATTTGACTTATATATAATTCTGGATTTTTTAATTTTATTTTTTACTAATTTTTTTTTTGGTTCAATCAAAAAAATTCATACAGAAAATTATTCAACCTCGAATAATCAGGTTTTTAGATTTTATTTTGAAAAATAAAAATAAAAATAAAAATCTATCAATAAAATTATATAAAATTTGTATTAAATCAAAGTCTATTTTCCGAATGATTCAATAAGAGATGATTTTTCGATTTGGCACAACTAGTATTACAAAACTAAAATTTTGTATTTCATTTGAAAACTATTCTAAAGTGTAAGTTTGGATTAAATTGATTTGATTCTAAAAGTTGAGTTGTTGTTATGAAGCTGTAAATTGATATATAGGTTGAAGTCTATTTGACTAGTGCATCTATGAAAAAAGTAAAATTAAGAAACGTCAAGATAAATGATATGCATATTTGACTTGTGTTTTTTCCACTTAACTTTAGAATATATTTAATGAAGACTGTTTGTGAAATTTAAGCTAAATTTTTTTTATACGGGTTGTTCTTCATTGAAGCTTTGATGTAGATTTTCAAACAAAATTTACTTAATGAGTTGTTTTTTTCACTCTAAGTAATCCAAACATTTATTTTATAGTTTTCTATACATTTCAGTTATTAGTTAAATTGATTAGAATGTATGATGTCATAGATCAAACACAACATGAGACATTAGAATCTACAAGTATAATCT